CAAAGGTGCTGTTTGGTTCGGTACTTTTGTGACGGTATCCATTCACAGGGCAATCTGATTCCATTGAATTTGTTTGGTTTGCTCGGGTGTAATCAGGTGCAATGTAATGGGGTCCGGGGGCCATGCAAATCGAAAGGTAATCGTTACCACTGCTCAGTGGGTGGTAGGCGCTCCAGACAGGGGATCCGGTGTCGAACCAAACAAAATCACTAATCAACTATTTCCTTCCCATTCCGGCGGGGGAAACATTCCATTTACATTGCTGTAGCGGTTACGTAACCAAACACCACCAAAAGCTCAAGGAGGAATATCAGGCACACGCGCATGCCTGGCCCCATACAAAGTTTGCGGCTCGTGCTTGGCCGCGGCTCGTACTTCTCCGCGCTTGATTTTTTTCCCCCTCACACGTGGCGTCCATCGCGCTGGGGAGCGCATGCGAGCGTGGTGCGCCCGTCGCGCATGCAATTTATTTCCTTCTTTTGGTACCGCCGAAATTTCACCAAAAGAATTCAGTAGAAAGCAGCAGATCGACACATATTATACAGGTATAATATTTATATATGCACCACATAGTAAATATCCTGATGACTTGATCTGTACGCGTAAACGGTTGAGCCGTCAGTTTGAATATAATGAAAAAAAGTCAAACAATTCGTGCATTACAACACGTGTTTTAAGGATTCTCCAAACAAGACCTTTTTTGGCACAGCTTCCCACTGCTACAATTCTCTCCACATTTTGTCCATTGCAGCAACAGCTCCTGAGACTGTGAGCCCATGAAACAAAAAAAAAAATGTATGTGTGTAGCTTCATCAACTCCCAACTCATTTAGGAGAGCGAATAGAGAAATAATTTTACCTATCATATCCGCTATAGCTACCCTACGGTATAATTTTACCAACCTAATCTCTTAAATATGAATCCATTCATGATAATCGCTATTGGTTCAACTTTATTAGTTTGCCATTAATAATAATAAATATTTTAAAATCATTTTTTTATTAGAGGAAGTAGGAGGATAGGGACGCAGGTGCAGACAATGCAGTCTTCCCCTAATGTTGCCTGTTGCTTTCGTGATGATAATTACGTGGTGGCTGCCCTAAGCTGTGCTAACTGTTTGCACCTAGGAGAAGATGAAGCGAAAAGCAACATTGCATTCAAATCTGAGTACCTTACTAGCACAGAAATATGTATGCATGGCTGCCATCAACAATGTCGATCTAGGATAAGCACCTATGGTCTGAAGTTTTCTTAAATGCTTTACCCATTGTAGAAATATATCTCAAAGGAATGAGTTCTTGAGCCAAGCTTTACCTTCATCTTGGCCCCCCTTAGTTTTGTCTCTGGTTCCGACTAGTACGTCGTCGTATCGCTCGTCAGTACTAGCTGCTCCTATCCTACGATCTCAAGGATTTTCTTTATATATATATATATATATATAGGCGCAGCCATACGTGTACGTTCCACGCGGGATCAAGTGGAGTGTAAAACAAAGTGTGTGTTTTGTCTCCGGACGAACCAAAATTAGAATTCCTTGCTCGGGTCACTTCGATGCTTTCGCTGCCACTATGTGACATTGCAGACGCATGAACTGACGTCTCGCGTTATCGCTTTCGTGATGATGGTAATGATGATGATAGCGTGCGTTAACACGTATCACATCACTGTCATCGTGATAACAGTTGGGGAAAAATGGGTGACCAATGCAAGCTGAACAAACAGGAGGAGATTTGGAAGCATGCAGCGGCTCATTTGTTCAGCATGGTTCTTATGACCCGGAAGAGAATATGCATGGACATTCGTGCCCTGTCGTCTCACAAGTCGCATGTAGAACATCGACGGCCCGTCGTCACGGCCTCGCATGCATTGCGTGACTCCCCACGCGTCTGTGTGATCGTGTCTCATCGTCGATGAATAATCATCAGAGAGGCACAGAAAAATATCGATGGGCGCAATATCAACATCTCATCTACAGTGACAGTGGCTGCTTACGACTGCTAGCATGGTGGTGAGCATTTTTGACACGCAAATGGAACGTGATCAAATATTCTGTTGGAAGATTTGGCACTAGTCTAGTCTTTAGTTGAAAAATAAAGGCAGACCCCTCGAGAGCTTTTGGTTGGCTGCGTAGCTAGCTTCGTCTTTGCATGCACAACTTGCGACAGAGAGGGTTACTCAATCCACACCGCGGTCAGGGTCAGCCAGCTTGTTATTCCTGCCACACAACTTCTTACGGCCACGCAACGCACTAGCTAGGCAGCTGCTACCAGGAGACACGCTCATAGAGCTGGCCAGCTGGGCATAGCAACTAGCTTAGCTAGTACTATTTTTTTCTTCTGAATTTTGTATGCTATGGGCGTGATTGGTTCTCGTTTGGGGCCAACCTGTCCCGTATCTGAGAGCCAGGCGCAGGACAGCCTGGTCTTGTGCATGCAGCCATCTCGTTTGGGGGTGTGATTGGTTGACTGTTGGCACCCGGCTTGGCTCACAGGAGATTTTGTTTGGTTGGCAATAGCGCCGTATCCACGCAGAGGGCCACAGCCAGGAAAATCGGCACCGGGGACGCGGGCCTGGCTCCGAAAATCCTCGGCACTGGGACGCGATCGTGCGCATAACTTGCACGCGAATCTTTTAAGCCTAATTAATCCATGATTTGACAACGGTCTTCTGATGTAAACATGTGCTAATAATAGATTAATTAGGCTTAAAATTCGGCTCTCGAAAATTAACCTCCAATATAATTGGTTTTGTAATTAATTTATATTTAATACTTTTATTAACCTCTAAGTCTCCCCACTTCCGAAGTCTCCCCGCGTTCCTACCGAGCCTGGCTCGACAGCGCCTCGTGCATGCGGCTGGCCTGGCCCGAGCACCAAAGCAGCGTACCAATCACAAGAATCCTGCATGCGAGGAGCAGCCTACCAATCACGCCCTATATCTCTCCATCCTACAACGACTGGTCTGGATATATACGGACTTTGCACTTTGCTTTACGTCGCTATCAAGCGTCCATAGTCTGACTTCCATTCATTACGTTCTTTATTTAAGATAACTGTCATCGATTGATGGGAAGCTCCTATTAGGTCTCATCAACGTACGACTTCGGCAACAATAACCATGTCCATATTGCAACGGTGGAACCTGTAAAGCTGTTACATTGTGATTATATGAAAGCAACCTGCGGCAGAGTTAACCTGGACTGGTAAACGATGCATAATAAGGATTACCATATGTATGGATAATGTGCATGATTGAATCGATGACGAATGCATTGAGATATATGCCGTACCATCTTTGGATCGACCGCTTTCGTGGTTCTTAGCATCCACACACCAGTATATTGCAATTCCGTGCCGTGTACAGACGACAAGGCCGCAGATCCTGAGCGAAAGGTAAACATATGGGCCGGACAATCATTCGCAGCGAGATAAGCTAATGGGCTACCACATGCACATTCGCAAAGGTGATCCCAAACTCAGGGGGGTTGGAACGGATTGAGAGGGATTCAATCCCCTATGAGTCAAAATCCTCCTACACCCCCTTCAATCCCTCACATCTCAAGATCACACGAACAGGGCATAAAGTCTGATTCGCGTGGTGACAATTAATCCTCTACCCCCTTCAATGCCTTCTTCTCACTGTGCTGCCGCGCCACCACCAACCACGCCCGCCGCCACCGGCCTGTGGCGTCCCGTTGCTCTATCCCTATCCTCCACTAATCCAAATTAGAGGGGAAAGGCTAGGTGACTCTTTATCCCCGCCATCCCGCAATAGTTGGCCTTGCCCACTGCCCTCAGCTAGCAGCGCCTGCTGGCCAGCCACGACACCCACACTCGCCACTCCACCCCTTACTCTCCCTAATCCAAATCGGAGAAGGAAAATGAGGTGATCCTTTGCCCCCGACACTAACCTTGCTCGTCGCTCAAACCACCACCACTGGCCTAATCCACATTGGAGCACCAACTAATGTCTATGCTCTTTTGCTCCGGTTGGGCTCAAGTTCCACTAGTAATACCTATTCTCCACTCTAGATTGGTGGGTCTCAAACCAAGCACAACTCTAGGAGCCTCCCATCAAGCACTCCGGAAAGGTCAACTAATCCTCCACCAGGTTGTCTAGGTGCTAGCAAACACCAAGAGTGATAAGTCTTTAACTGCGACTTGATCAAATCCAAAGAGCAAATGGACGCACAAAAAGATCACTCTTAAGCCCTCCTCTTGACTTAATGTCCTCGAACCCTTCACAAAGTCTCTCAATATGTGTAGAACTAGGGGTCCAAGAGAGCCCCAAATGAGCTAGACATGATGTATATCTAGGCGGTCACACATTGGATTCATTTATAGGCTTTGTGCCATGGCTAAGTTTTCTACTCCTTCCATTCTAAATTATAAGACGTTTTAGCTTTTATAGATACATTACTTCTATTATATATTTTAGACATGATGTATATCTAATATACAACAAAAACTATGTATCTAGAAAAGCTAAAATATCTTTATAATTTAGATTGGTGGGAGTATTTCTTTGTTCCTTCCCTCTCCGGTTCCTCGACATGCTCTAGCTCCATGCACCGACGGTAGCTTCACGCCTTCACCCGATTCGATGGCATCTCCAGATCTGTCGGCTTGATACATATCGGACGGCCTGCAGCCCAGCAGGGCCAGAGCCTCCCAGCAGTGAATTTAAGCATAGACCATCGTGCCTTGATACATTGTTACAGAGAACATAAATCACAAACTTAAGAATGTCCGATACATCTGCTGTGAATGCACAATATAGTAACAAGGCCACTTTTACAAAGGAAAATGGACCTATCACCAAATCAGTGGAAAGTACGAGTTACAAATGAATATATATGATATACCCTACATCTAGGAAAACTGACATCACAGACGGGAGACGTAATAAATCAAAAGGGGGCATTTAACTGATAAGGTTGCTGCAGAATCTCCAAAACTTTGCGCCTCTCCAGTGACAGTTTTGCATTTGCAGCAAGCCATTTAACCAGTAATAATACCGGCAAGTACATCGCTCTTTGCTCTTGCAAAAATAGTGTAGACAAGGCGTATGGCATCTAGCCAACCGTCAAGAGCCTCCCAACTATCGGCAACCTGTCAGGGGCGAGAGAAGAATGGGTTGAATTATGTACTCCACACCAATGTTTTCAAGTCGTCCAGTCGAACCTAGTCGCCATGGGACCGACTAGGACGATTAATCACGATTAATCGCGATTAATCGGACGACTTGTACAAGTCGATGGTACCCCTAATCAGTCAGCAGGGACTGATTAGGACGATTAATCGCGATTAATCGGACGACTTGAAAACATTGCTCCACACCATTTATTTTCGCTAGCGGTAATCAAATTGGCTATATAGGGCATTGCACCACATTTGCTGTCCATTAAATTCAAAAGGGTTGACTGTTCAGTCAATTTATTGAAGAACAAGCAGATTTAAAAGTGTAACCTATGTCTAGATACTGAAGAAATGTTATCCATTTCAATGGAACAAAATAATATCGAAAAAGATGAACAAACGAGCTGTAATAATAAACTGGCAGGCACATACCAAGAATGTAGGACCATGAATAGTTTCTATACAGAGGCCAGCACCACTTGGTAAAGTTAAATCAGCACATGCTGACACTGAAACAATATCTGCAACGTTTATTCTGACAGGTTTTCTGCCCCTGCCCAAATGCCCAGGGGATTGTGATGGAGGCTGGTCAGAAGCATCAGCCTATAATTCACAGCAACACTAGTCAGTTGGATAAGGCCATGACAAAAGATATTGGAAACACCAGTAACTTCAATCTAAACAGAGTATCAATGGAGATAAGTATGCAAAATGAAAATGATTAACATTGGCAAAATACCTGCTGGAGTCCCTCATGATTCAAAATGAACTGTGATCTCTCCCAATCTTTGTGTGGTGCAATGGCATTGTTAGCTGGAGGAGCAGTCAAATACCCCACTTTGAGATATGGCAGAGGTAACTGCATGGTATAAGATGCAATAAGAACAGAAGAACACTGCCATAATGAAGAATTAGACAAGAGAACATCTAAAGAACAGGAAAATGTGCTAAAAAGAAGACCAGGACATTCTATCATTCAGAGAAACAAAAATTAGTAAGGTTTGAAGACCTTGAGGATTGTCAGTTCTTTTCCCTCAAGAAATGGGTTGCAAAAGAGTTCAACATACACATGGATAACTGAACTGAAAAGCATCTATCATATCCCAGCTACATGAACCTTTAATTATTACTAGGTAGCTTTCAACAATAAGGTCCAATACTATTAGGTAACAATATCAAACAGAATAAACTAACACAGTTCATTAGAAACAGAAAAAATGAATTTATACCATTGAGCGGACTAATCGCAAAGCACTGCGATAGACCTGCATTTGACAAAAGATCACGCTGTCAAGGAAGTTTGAAGGAAAAAAAGGGAAAGGTCCAAGGCATAGGTAGAGAGTAAAAGATGCATATATAGATACCGAGTAATTTGGCTTCAGAGCATGAGCAGCTGCAACATAGATAGCAGACTGACTGTAAAGCTCATTAGGGGAGACATCTGGCTTCCCAGACCTCATGGTATCCTCAGCTAAACCATACTGCAGCATTATAAAACAAAATGTGTGTGTCATTGTCATGGAACTTAAACTGTAGAAGTTATAAAATCTATTAGAAATTTATACATAATATACTAAAACAAACTCATTATTTTAGTCTAAGAAAAGTATATATCATTCAACAGGTGAGTTATGAGGCAGGAAGCACACCAAGACAGTTCCGAGGTTGTATATTGCCCGATGGAAATCAAATTGCAGCTGAATTGCAGCACGGAACTACATATATAGTAGAAACGGGTGTCAGTGGTTCATCAAAGAGATAATTTTTACTAAGCAATACCATAAAAAATAATTCCTAGGCACAGTAATGGGATATTGTATCTACCTTGCTTATAGCTGTTTTTATTATGGTCTGTTTATCCCGGGCAGGAACAATTGCACTCAGCTCCTGCATTGCAAATTCATACTCAATAAACTGCTAGCACAGGCAGGTGCAACTCAAGAGCAAATAGTTAACCAAACTTCAGGGAAGAAGGTTAAGAAAATAAAATTGATGAGATGTACCTGTAGCCCAAGACCCCAGTTATTGAGAGCCTGCAATCGAAAAGAAAGGCAATTAAGAAAGCAGCAACACTGGCTATTAATAAAAATTCAAGATTAGAAGTTTCAAGTTGAAGTGATATCAGATCATCTCATTTTCATGGATTTGGTCAAATGCTGGTGGAGAGAAATGGACCCGAAAAAACAAGATCCTTTCATAAAAAATATTTCTTTAGATTAGTTTATAAAGAATTTCGGCAACGAAAGATCACAGGAATTTAAACAATAAGGATAAAGCCATGGCAAGCTCTGTTTCTTGACCAGCAACAAGTTTTTTCTTTCTTTAATTGATAAATTAGAACAAAAAAACAGCTATCACTACAAAAGGATGGCATTCTTATTCTTATTGTTTAAACATGTGCGCAACATTACTAAACGAAACTCTACTGAACCATGATGGTCTTCATATCAGTTATATGCGCACATCAATCGTCCACTTAACTCAAATTGGAGCCTTTTATCTTTTCATTTTATCATATAAACTGCACTCAAGAACTCAAGATAAATATAAGGATTTAACGCTAACCTGTGGGCTATTCCAATTAAGCTGGACAGCCTTCTCATAATTCAGTATTGCCTGCCAAAGAAAGAAAAGCGTAAATAACGGATGCAATCAAATCTAATCATATACTTAAAACAACATTAGTATGTTTGGCAAGAAAACATGGTAACTTTTCAGCTTAATGGCAAGGAACGGAGATGTGGATTGTTCAAACCCCTTGGGATTTATTGTTCCCCCAAATGCTAAGGTTAAAATTTGAAATTCTTGATGAAACTAAACATTGAGCAGAGTTGGATGGACCAAGGTTTTCAAGAAAAGATAAGAAATAGTGTCATCGCATAGCACAAAAAGTTCACCAGCTATCAGGGAATTTTTTGAAGAAAAAAAAAACGGTGACGAAACATGCTGCTTGCTACATGATTTGCTATTGGATAACTTGTGAGCTCTTATTTATCCATCCAAATTCACGAAAGAGACAGTGAAGTATTATATATCTTAATAGATAGGACAAGAACAACTTAATATGTACAACATATATTGCGAGCTCATGTTTATTCAAAAAAAAAATTATCACAAACCCACAATTTGAGTGAAAAGTGGCACAGTTTTTTATCATATAAATAACATAATTGATGGCCTGCAGAGAACAGGCACCACAAGGAAACCAAAACAAGATTCAATATTTGACCAAACCTGATTTACTTGCATTACTTGCATAATAATAATTTGGTGTTCAACATAAACAAGCTTATAGATGTATGTGAGACATCTCACTAAACCTGCTTCCAGAGTTCTTCGGCTTCTTTTGTCCGACCTCGCATTTTAGCTCGATCAGCAATAGCAATAGCCCAGTTATAATATGCCTAAAAAAAGATAATGTGTCAAAGGAGCATCAAGATATCTGAGACAATTAGAATGATCAACATTGAGCACTATACGTTAGAACCATGAAGTCATATTCTTAGATGTGATGCTTTTTGTAGACTATTTGAAAAGTGTGATTGTGATGCTTTTTATTCTTTTTTCCGAAAGGGCCAAAAAGCATTGATCAAACATAAGAAGTGAGGAACTTACATCATAAAGAGTTGGACAAAGTCGGGTAGCTTCAGCATACTTTTTGCAAGCCTCCTCAAGCAATGCATCTTTAGAGGAACTAGAATTGGGATCCACATTGTCTGCACTCTCCTGAAATAATATTTCAAAAGAATAAGATACAAATTTGCCTGAAATATAAATAACAATTTTGCAGCGCATATGTAACATGCATGCTATAAACAACAGCAGCTATGCGTTCACTATATATTAACACGTATAAAAGACCATCACAAAAAAAGGGAGGTATAAAAGGAATGTAGATGTGTACCTGGAGGACAAGAGCCCAATTATAATATGCATCAGGGTCATCAGGATTTCTTTCAATTGCATTTACATACCTGCATAACAGAACTTTAAACTTGGCAGCAACAAGTAATTACAGAGAGAACTACAAAATATGCAAGCTAATTGTAGCAATAAAAAACAAAATTTAATCAGGCAAGCTAAGCAAACCTTTTGGCAGCAAAAGAAAGAATCCTTTGGCGAGAACGTCCTTCCTCGTCAACTCCAGTTACACTATTTATCAAGTCCATCGCTACATCATGGTGGAATGAAGACTGTTGTGTGCTATCTTGGCTGAAATATTGAAGAAATCAATAAAACTTACTGTTTGAACCATTTCATTAGGAATTTGTGCATAAGCCAATACAAATAAATGTGAACTAGTAACGTTGCAGCAGCTGTGAACTAACCATATACAAAATTACAGAATTTAAGCAGATATAATGATTAATGCATTTATTAAAAGGTAACAACCATCTGATACCCATTATTCGTTATAACGGAAGGAGAAATTGTTCACAGCTTTTCATAAGAAGAAAGGTGCTTCCATATCCATATACCTAATAATATAACAATCCTACCCTACCAGAAGATGAGCTGCAGTAGGTTCGCATTAACACCAATTTTGCTTTGTTGAAGAAAGATCACAAAAATACCACAATCCATGGTAACAATTGTGCTTGCACATAAGCATTCTAATGCAACCAGCATTCGCAGCTCAAATATGACAATACAACTCCACTAAGGCAGCAGCTAAAGCACCAAAATTAAGCAGCAGCTGCTTAATTCACGTAGCCAACGCAAAATTCACGTAGCCAACGCAGATCCGACGCGAAGTCCAAAGTGTACGGCTAAAAAACGCAATGCCACAAACCTAACCAAGCCACAGTGATCCAGTACATGGAGTGAGATCTAAATGACGCGAATAAGCACAAACCTGTAGGACGAGCCCTCGGCATCAGCGGATCCGACCCCGTTCCCATAGCCGAACGCAGATCTCGCGCTGCTGCCGCCGGCCGCCGTCTCGCCGTCCTCCTTGAGCTCGCCGAGGAGCTCCCGCATGGTGAACGGACGGGACCCCTCCGACCCCAGCGCCGCCTTCGCCTCCTCCTGTTTCGCCGTCGCCGATCGCGGCGGCTCCTCCTCCACTTCCTCCTCCTCAACCTCCGGCGGAGGCCCCTCCGGCTCTCGCGCGCCGTTCGCGAGATCCTCCGCACCGGCTGGCCTGGTCTCCGTGGGCTCCTCCATGGTCACTCCTCGGGGCTCGCTCGCGCGCGCGGCGGGATCTGGGAGCGGAGCCGGGAGCCGCGAGCGCGTGGTGGTCACTGGTCTCGTCTCGTCTCGCGCCCGCACGGCCGCGTGGTCAGTCACTGCGCGAACGGAAACCAGCGCGGGCCGAGGTGGGCGTCGCGTCAGCGGAGGGGAGGGGGAAAGCTTACGTGTCGACGCAGTAACAGCCTCTCATGGTACTATGGGCCGAGCCGGGCCTGGAGGTCCAACACGGGATGGGAAAAAAAGGCCCTGTCCAGCAGCTGGCTAAGCCATAGAATTTATGGATCCTAAACCCAATATTTATAGCATAGTTTTATACACAGCCGAGCCACTTTGAAGTATCAACTAAATGATATTCCAGATTCGGCCACAATAGAGCAATAAGCACAGAATTTTGACCGAATCAGGATCTCACTTGGCAGAAATTTTATAGAAAAAAAAATCCACTAATGCATAATCACCAAGCCTTGGTGCAGCAAGAGCTTCAAGCATTATAACAAACTATTGCCCTATTTACTTGAACTTTTTCAGTAATAGAATAGTGTTTTTTTTACAATATTTCAGCATAGGTATTAATATAAACTAAATTTCAGCGTCAAGGAACAGAGTGTATATTGGTAACCCAAATGAATAGTAAACTCTATGAAGACAGCCGATTGCTCAAAAAAAAAAAACAGCTAGCTCTCGAGGGGCATTTTGGGAACGCCACCGGCCGCGGCGTGCGGTGGGGTCTAGGGGAATGAGATGGGGCGGCACTGGGCTCAAATGCCGCCATGCCGGCGCCACCGAGGGCGGAAGCTGTCCAGATCGCGTGATTTCGCGTCCCGTTCGCGAGCGCGACACACGCTGACCTACCCGACGGCCTCCACCTCCGTCTTGAGGCGAAGCGCAGGTGAGCCAAACAAAGCCCATCGGCCAACCACTAGCAGTCCGACTGCTTTCGCTTCAACGCTCCATGGCTCGATCCAGTGCGGTTTCCGAATTTTTGCTGCGAAGGGCTAACTCTTTCGGAGGGGGATTTTGTCTCAGGTGCGTAGTAGTCTGCCATGGCCGGCGAGAATAAGGTCTTTGGGTTCGAGGAAGTCGCCAAGCATAACGTCACCAAGGACTGCTGGATCATCATCGCCGGCAAGGTGCGGTTTTTCTGCTCCCCTCCCATCCTCGGCTCCCCTTTGTGGTGACATAGGATTTTGGATGGCTGGTGGCATGCCTCTGGTGGTTTCATAGGATATGGTTTTGTGAAATTGTTTGGTGTTCTTGTTGGTGGAATGGAAATTCCTTCCGTTTCCCCTTCGATTGCAAAGGTTTTACGGCCTAAGGAAAGCTTACAACGCTTTCTGTTCCATGATAAGGTTTTATGGAGAAATAATTGATGGTAGGCTTGGTTTCTTGCAGCAGCAGAATTGAATCAATTGTGCTGGGATTTATCTCGAATCAGATTTGCTCATTTGCTGAAACTAAACAGGCGTACTACTAAAGATAAAGATGTTTTGGATTGTCAAATAGCAGTTGTAGTTATTCATCAGTGTGTGACTCAATCCAGGTCCAGAAACTGCCTTTTAGATCTACTCCATGTTCAATGATGAGTTGGGTTGATCCGATCGAGGACGAGCAACTGCCTTTAGATCAACTTCATGTTGCTCTGTATGCTTGGATGATTATAGGACAAAAGCTTATTACAATCCACTCGCATTGCATATTCAGAATTTACCACAAGGATAGTGCTTTAAACTGAGCACCTTTCTGTATCTTCAAATGACAATGCATGACAAAACAGACAAAAATATAGTTTGTTTTTATCCTGCTTTTTTTTTTGTTCGTGGCAGAATAAAATGATTCGGTAAAATATATAATTCCTCAAAAAAGTCTGAAATATAAATTACATAAATGATGATTCATGGTTGATATTTTCATATCCGACCAAATAAATGGTGTGCTTACGACATGTGGGTCATTATTTTTTTTGTTTTCAATTATATGCCCTTGGATGTATTAGTATGCCCATATATTATATAGGTTTCCGCTGCACCACACATATTATATAGTTTTCCGCTGCACCACATATATTATATAGGTTTCCGCTGCACCACAAAAGTAAGAAGTTGTTACTCTAGAATTAGTATATTTTCTTAGATCCAATGCTTTCCATTCAGAAATTTTCTAACTCTTTTCCTGTTTTCTCCTATATACAAATCCTTTAAGCTATTATTATCATCAAACATTAAAAAAAAGGGCATACCCAGTGCAGAGAGCTCCCGCTCTGTGCGGGGTCTGGGGAAGGGTGTCAGTGGCAAGCCTTACCCTCGCCTGTGCAATGCGAGGAGACCGCGACTCGAACCAGAGACCTTCTGTCACAAGCGGTAAGACTCTACCGCTTGCACCAGGCCCGCCCTTCATTATCATCAAACATTCTGCTGGAAAAATGCGTAGCATGTGCTAATTCCACTGAAGTTGATTATTTTTATTAAAAAAAATAAAATAGTAACTTGCCTTCCATTTGTTTGTGACAAATGTTTTGTTATTCTCGGTGTAGCTAATGCTTAATGGCCATGCTATTTTTGGAAGTAGGATTTTTGGCCCTAAGTTTACTTTGAAGTCAACCACTATTTTTGCCCTTGTAGTGTTATTACAAGACTTAAACATCCGCAGAGCTTCCTGACATAAGTTAACGAACTGTGCTGGCTTGTTTCTTCACCTTTTGCATAAATTAAGATTGGTACACTATAAGTAGATGTGGTGGTGTAAGATGTTGAAACATTGAAACCTATGCTTCTGCTGTCTGTAATGTATGTTCCTTGTTCTTTTAGTAATCTCATATAAAATGGAATAAATCATTGAAATTTTCTGCCATCTATTTTCCAATATGTGTTTGACTGGAACATCTCATCTCTTTCTATTAACCAATGTTTTAAAAAACGCTAGACGCTAGGCGTGCGCTAGCCTAAAGTTTAGAGTTTTGGAAGTTTAAACGAGATTAAACGTTTTTTTTTTGGTTTTTTTTTTATTTTTGTGATTATGAGAGCAAAATCAGTACTAATAACACAACTTGAAGTAATAACAGTGATCACAGATTAGCCCCCACTCCCAGCCTATATCAGATGATTTCCTCTTTAGGTGGTTGGCAACATCGAACTCCGCCTATGGTGGGGCGCCTTTGGTGTCCCAGCATAGCAGGTCCCAAGCCCTGGTAAAGGAGGAGGGTTGTGTTAGGCGTGGCGAGCCAATGTAAAAACTTAGCCACTTTAATGGAGATGAAACCCGAAAGAAAATCGTTGGGGCGTATCCTCTTAGCGACGCCGCCATATCGAACCCGGTATATGGTGTTAAATGGGCAAGGGCAGGTCGTTACCCCCGTGACGCTACGTGTGTCGTGTCTCGGGCATGGTGTCAAGTGAGCAAGGATCGGTCTTCGCTTCCTTAGTGGCGCGCGCTACATCGGCGCCCCGTGTAGTGAAAAAATGAGCAAGGGTCTTCGCATCTGAGAGTCGACGGGTGCGAAGGGTAAGGAAGCTAGTCGAACCAACTAGGATCCGTTTAGGTAGTTGGAATGTAGGGTCACTTACGGTAAGTTAAGAGAATTAGTTGATACCGCGACTAGGAGGCGTGTAAATATATTATGCGTTCAAGAGACTAAATGGAAGGGTCGGGAAGGCGAAGGAGGTGGACAATCTGAGTTTCAAGCTTTGGTACACAGGGACGGTCATGAATAGAAATGGAGTAGGAGTTTTGATTGATAAGAGCCTCAAGAATGGTGTGGTGGGAGTGAGAAGGCAAGGAGATAGGATTATCTTAGTCAAGCTTGTCGTTGGTGATATGGTCTTGAACGTAATTAGTGCGTGCGTATGCCCCCAAGTAGGCCTCGGCGAGAGTGCTAAGAGACAGCTTACGGGAAGACTTAGATGGCCTAGTTAGAGCTATACCTAGTAGTGAGAAGCTTTTTATAGGAGGAGATCTTAATGGGCATGTAGGTACTACAAGCCATGAGTTTCGAAAGGCGCTCATGGAGGTTTTGGGTATGGTAGTAGGAATCGGGGGGAGGAAGTTCGGACTTGGCGGTAGCTTTGACCTGATGATAGCCAACACTTTCTTTAGAAAGAGAGAATCTCATCTAGTGACCTTCAATGAGCGGACAACACTTTGTGCTGATTGATTTTGTCCTCGTAAGAAGAAAGGACAAACGAGCATGCTTTGGATTGCAAGGTGATACTGGGGAGTGTGTTGTTTCTCAACATAAGCTTTTGGTGGCGATTTTTTCGTTTTTCAGTGCGTGCCCATAGGGATAAACAAGCTAAGATTCAAAGAACAAAGTGGTGGAAACTGAAAGGGGAGACGTCAGAGGTATTTAGGGAAAATGTTATCAAAGAGGGCTCTTGGAAGGAAGAAGACGACATAAACAACATGTGGGAGAAGATGGCAACCAACATTGGGAAGGTGGCCTCGAGAGGTGTGGAGTAACCAAAGGAAGTGGAGGCGAGGCTAAAGATACTTGGTGGTGGAAACGAGGAAGTCCAAAGGGCTATTAAGGAGAAGAAAGAATGCTATAGACGCTTGTACCATGATAGGAGTGTGGACAACATAGAGAAGTACAAAGTGGCAAAAAGAAGGCAAAAACGAAATGTAAGTGTGGCAAAAAGGTAGAGCGTCGAGGGATCTTTACCAACATTTGAGTCTGAAGGAAGGAGAGAAGGACATTTATAGGATGGCTAGGGTTCATGAGAGAAAGACACGGGACTTTAACCAAGTTAAGTGCATTAAGGATGAAAGGGAGCATCTCTTGGTAAAGGAGGATGAGATCCGACATCGATGGCAAGAGTATTTTGATAAATTGTTCAATGGTGAGAATATGGACACAACCTTTCAGTTGGATGACTCTTTTGATGACACCAATAGGCGCTTTGTGCGGAGAATCCAAAAATCTGAGGTCAGAGAGGCGTTGAAAAGGATGAAAGGAGGTAAGGCGATGGGACCAGATGGTATCCCAATCGAGGTGTGCAGATGCCTCGGGGACATAGCTATAGTATGGCTAACCAAGCTGTTCAACCATATTTTTCGATCGAACAAGATGCCTGATGAGTGGAGGAGAAGTATATTGGTACCGATCTACAAGAATAAAGGGGATATTCAAAGTTGTACTAATTATTGGGGAATTAAGTTGATGAGCCATACTATGAAGCTATGGGAGAGAGTTATCGAGCATCGCTTGAGAGCAATAACGCGGGTCTCTGTGAACCAATTTGGTTTCATGCCCGGAAGGTCAACCATGGAAGCCATTTTCTTAATAAGACAAGTTATGCAGCGGTATAGGGAGAAGAAGAATGACATACACATGGTTTTTATTGACTTGGAGAAGGCTTATGATAAAATACCAAGGAATGTTATGTGGTGGGCTTTGGACAAACATAAAGTCCCAATGAAGTACGTCGGGCTCATTAAGGACATGTACAACAATGTTGTGACTAGAGTTCGAACAAGTGATGGAGACACGGATGACTTCCCGATTAGGATAGGACTACATCAAGGGTCAGCTTTGAGCCCTTATTTGTTTGCTTTAGTGATGGATGAGGTCACAAGGGACATACAAGGGGACATCCCTTGGTGTATGCTTTTCATGAGACGATGTAGTGTTAGTTGATGAAAGCCGGACAGAGTGAATCGAAAGCGGAGTTATGGCGGAGACTTTGGAGTCAAAAGGTTTTAGACTCAAAGAACTAAAAGCTGAGTATATGAGATGTGACTTGGCACTACTACTCGAGGAGGAGGAAGATGTTAGTTTGGAAGGTCAAGTAGTGCCTAGGAAGGATACCTTTTCGATATTTAGGATTAATGCTACTGAGGGACGGGGACATTGATGAAGATGTTAGCCATAGAATCAAAGCGGGGTGGATGAAGTGGCGGCAAGCGTCCTGTCCTATGTGATAAAAGGGTACCACGAAGCTAAAAGGCAAGTTTTATAGGACGGCGATTAGACCTGCTATGTTGTATGGTGCAGAATGTTGGCCTACGAAAAGACGACATGTTCAACAGCTAAGTGTCGCGGAAATGTGTATGTTGCGTTGGATTTGCGGTCATACAAGAAGGGATCGAGTTCGGAACGATGATATACGTGATAGATTAGGGGTAGCGCCAATTGAAGAAAAGCTTGTCCAACACCGGTTGAGATGGTTTGGACATGTGCAACGGAGACCCCCAGAGGCACCGGTGCGTAGTGGCATCCTAAGCCAGGATAGTAACGTGAAGAGAGGCAGAGGAAGACCGAAATTGACTTGGGTAGAGGCAATAAAAGGAGACTTGAAAGGATGGAATATACCCAAAGACTTAGCCTTAGATAGGAGTGCTTGGAAGACAGCTATTCACGTGCCTGAACCTTGATTGCTTCTTATGGGTTTCAACTCTAGCCTACCCCAACTTGTTTGGGACTTAAAGGCTTTGTTGTTGTTGTTTGTTGTTGTGGTTGGCAACATCGGCGGCTTCTGGAGCCGGTGCTGCAGTACCAGCAGCAGCTGCAGCTTCAGAAGTCGACATCCTAATCCCAATCCAAGAACAAAAGTAGCATAGTAAGGACCAATAGATCAACGCATCCTAAGGACTAAGGAGCAATACACATTCAATCTTAACCCTAAAATAAATCCCCAATCCAATTCATCAGTTCAGTGATTGACATGCGTTTAATTGAGGTCAAAGTTTAATTGAGCGTTTACCCCCTAAACGCAACGTTGGGCCAAAGTTTAGCGTTTAAACGGGATTAAACGAAGTTTAATAATGTTTTTTAAAACATTGCTATTAACATTTCAGGTGTATGACGTCACTCCGTTTATGGATGAGCATCCTGGTGGAGATGAGGTTTTGCTAGCTGTAACTGGTAAGCCATACATCAATTGTACTTCATAGTTACAGCCTTGAACCATGACGTTTAAATATTGAGCTGATCTCTACTCTTGAATGTAACCAGGGAAAGATGCTACGGCTGATTTTGAAGATATTGGCCACAGTGATTCCGCAAGGGACATGATGGAGAAATACCACATCGGGCAGATAGATGCTTCAACAATCCCAGCAAAACGTACTTATGTGCACCCCCAGCAAGCGCCCAGCCACGCAGACAAGGATAATGACCTCCTCATCAAGATCCTGCAGTTCCTTGTGCCCATTATGATCCTGGGCCTTGCATTTGGTATACGGCAGTACACCAAATCAGAGTAGTATACTATTCTTAGAGACTTGCCTTTGGAGTCTGTTTTATGGTCATGGTTGGGATGAAAACAGTTCAATAATTGCTTACAGTGTACTTGTCAGGTGGATGTTATCTCATTGGTCATATGCTACTCTGTATTTATGGACATCCAAATGTGCTCTTTTCCCAGGACCCCATGAACTGAGGCATATAAGATGGATTCTGAGTCTTCATGATAGTTGATATCAGATTATTGCAGTTATGTTTGTTTTGTGTGTGCGTGCTTGGACGGTGCAATAAACAGAACCAGACCATAAACCATCTCCTATCCTAAGGTGTACTTTTTGACCAAAAAATTGGCAAATAATTCTGCCCCCCCACACATCATCAGCATGCTTTCGTTTGGCTGTGATCATTATCATAAACGATCATAAATTTTCAGCCGAAACAGTATTTTTCTCTCACACAAACCAGCCAGCAGTACTTTTTTACGAATCAGCCAACCGAACAGGCTGAATAACAAAACAAACTTCGATGATCAATACAGCCGTGGATGGTACCATTGCTGTGGACTGTGGTTTTGGACCTGGGATCAAAAGCAGGTAAGTTTGATTTTTTGCGTGTACGTAGTGCAGATACAGATAGCGATAGCCGAAAGGTTTGGATAATACACAGCCAAGAAGACCAGATCCACCAATTTGCACCGAACCCCCATCACATGACATCCACCATCACATGCAGTATGTAACGAGGGTACAACAGAAACAAAACAGATTGCAATACATCAGAATGGTAGACAATGATATGATTCAAGGGGCTATTTGCCCACGTCCAGTATGCACGCTCAGTTCAAAAAAATTGCTGGCATTACTACCTAGCTAACTCCATCAACGCGCTTCTATTCACTGTCGGTACGTACTTAACATACAAAGAGATTGGGTATAGTGAAAGTATGGTAATGTGACAAATAGCGCAAGCAACGAAGACCACCACTACTCAATCCTATCGTGAAGGGTCACCACTAGATCGTGCGCGTCGTCCAGGAGCTTCCAAATGTCCAGCTGTCCAGCCATGCTGTTACACTCCCTTACGATCTCATCCATGCCGCTGTAGCTTTCTATTATCAGTTTCCGCTTCTGCAACACACTAGCAGCAATTGCATACAGTAACAGGTCATCTGTTGGAGGTGCTCCCAACTGCAATTTTCGCCAGGATGATTTTGCAATCTCAGCGCGGTTTGCTGCCTGATCAGCCCACATCACCTCCCAGAGACATAGGGTCTGCTCGAAGGTGAGCTCCCTCCGGAACATCACAACCACCATTCTGTAAACAAAAAAGCAGTCTTCAGCTTGGAGCATCTCCAAATGTCTGTAGAGATGGAAGTCCTTGTATTTGATTATCCTAGCCACCATATTGAGTTGCCGGCGTATACCCACTTCATCAAGTCTAAAATTGTGGCGGGCTTTCCTCATAAAACCAGCAAAGCACCAGAAGGCTTCGTCATCTTCCTCTAGAACAGCAAGGAGAGGTGCAAGCAGGTCACTCATTCCCTGGCAATATCCAATTTCTTGGTCATAGATTGCACAGGCCTCAAGAATAGCAACAAGGCGTGACGCATGATGGATCCGATATGGTTCTAAGTGGTCATAGTCTTTGAGAAAAACAGCTTTAGCAGATTCAATTGCCCTCTCCTTGGAAACTGAAGCTTGGGATGGAGAGTAGGAAACCCATTCATCGTTAGCACGGACTGCATCCAAACGAATAATCCGTTGCCATGTCTCAAAATCCTCGATTGCCCGTGCAGACTTCACAGGGCGGGCAGCCTTAGATAACACAACATCATCCATATTTCCTCCTGTGTTCGAATATCTCGGGATACTTTCTTGTTCATCCTCAAATGAGGACTCACAAACTGAGGCCAAGTTCTTATGAGATGCTTCTACATGAGTCACAGCACTTTTTTCACTCCCTTCCTCATCGGAAGAACTAGATGAAGACTGATTTTCTTTCATCTGCTCTGGCTTTGTTTCAGAAGTGTCATCCTGCACTTCTTGTTCTGCACTGAGACTTGGATTTCCTTCCTCAGTTATAGCCTCTTCCATGCTAGGACTTTCAGGAACTTCTTCAGATTTAACAGGACTAACACAACCAGATTCATCACCTTTTTCAGAACTATTGCTCCCTTCATGGTTGACTTCAGCTGTTTTAGTTGACTGCCTGCTCTCTTCCATGCTGTATGCTGATTTACGCAGGCAATGCTTCCTCAATAACAGATATCCCTTCCTACAGAAAATATGCCACTGAGTGTCATCATCTTAAGCCAATCAGAACAAACAACATCTAAAATTCAGTGTCCTTTAACAGGCAACATTCCTGAACTAAATAAGAAAAACATACATCGCCATATATCATCGGTGGAAAGACCATGGGAAACATGTTTTGATCAACTTCACTCAGTCATTTTCAGACAGGAAGAACAAATGTATGATAAAGAGATAAAATATACATCCTGAAGATTGTACCTGTTCTGGGCCTTAACCACATCTCTTTGTGCTTCAGAACTGTCAAGGCTATAACTGTATGAGAGTTCAAATCCAGATTAGTCAAGTCTATTATACTGAATACACACACATGCATTCTACAGTGCTTATGAAATCTGACCGCACGTTATTTCCTACTATAACTGTAAATCTGGTTGAGTTGTGGCAAAATAAAGAAAAAGAACTAATATTACTTGTTCATTTGTACAGCTAGCAAGCAAATTCACGAATTTTGTCATGCCCATTTAACAATCCATAACTGCTTAAGTTCAGTTTGATGATATAGACTACAGGTCTTCCTAAAATGCAGGCTCATCCATTTCCATGGACCATGGTTAATGTTATTACAATTACAATAGAATCTCTCTTCCTATAAAGTAGTAAAGGATATTAGCATACACATATCTTGTTCCAAAGTATCTTGTGGATCTAAACGTACATCTCCAAGCATGACAACAACAGTTCTGTGATCAACACTCCAGATTACTTACACTCCCAGAAGGAACGGCCAGACTTGCGCTCTGATACTCGGTTCCATCCCCTGTCAGAGAAGCACATCAATCAGCCTCAAAGCTTCAGAGGCCGCATAACAGCATCATTCATGAGTTACGCAACTTACTCCGCTCCGAACTTGCTTCAGAAGCTTCACTCCACCGTCCTGAAGCTTCCCCTCCGGCGTGAACAGATCTCGCCACTCCTGGGCCGTAAGCGGCGCCTTCCTCCGTCGCCGCCACCACGGAGACTTGAGCCCGCCTCTGCATCGAAGCACGCTTTGAGGCAGGCGTAAGCAGAAGCATAAGCGATTCCAAAAGGTGTGGGAGCGCGGGGACTGGCCGACCTGCGGGAAGAGACGACTATGGCGACGAGCGCGAGGCCCGCGGCGGCCGTGACCCCGACGGCGACGGCGGTGTTCCAGCGGCCGCCGCCGGCGAGGGGGCCGCCGAGGAGGCCCGCGGCCACGCGCTCGACACAGCCCCACGCCCACATCGGGCGCAGATGCCCGCCGGATCTCTCCACGGCTCCCCTCCTGTGCTACTACCCCCGCCGCCGGTGGTGCCCTCGATCGAAAGATTCCGGCCTCCCGGTTACTTTTCCCTTTCTGCTGTCGGGTGGCACCACGGAGATTTCCAGGAAGCGGTGCGTGGCTGCGTGCCGTGCGTCAAAGACGGGCCGCGTTCGTGGCCTTCACGGGCTAACGGACGGGCCGGTCGGTTTCGACACGTCGTGGTCTTCTGGCTCGGTCGGGCGTCACCAGCCCACAACTCACCAGGACCCTTTTTTTTTTTTGCAATTTGACCCTTTTTTAAGAAAATTTATGTTTAACCCCTAGACGACGTAAACTGATCTTTGAACTCTGGGGATCGGCGCCGTAGATGCTTGGCGTCGAGATGCCTGGCCGGGAACAGCAGGCCAGCCAAGGTGGCGCTGACGTGGCAGGTAGGTCAGAGCCATGGATTTCGGCGCCGACCTCGGATTCAAAACCCACGCCAAGGTTTCCCTGGCCGAGGCTCCTTTCATTTCTTCCTCTTTGTTCTTGGGTTTTTTTCTCTCCCCAAACCCTCCAATCTCTTGAATAAAGCAATTTAACCTTGGAAAGTTGGATTTGATCCATAGATCTTGGAGAGCAAGATATGTTCTCTCCCCTCCTCATTTTTATGCATTGGTTTGGTATATATTACGTGTATTTTGTAACCCTAAATATGTTAGTATTTATTGTTTGAAGTGATTATTATTTTTTGTATTATGTAACGGTAGAATGCCAAGGCGTGGTAAAGCTAGTAAACCAAGGTAATCTTCTGTCAATTGTGTTATATTATTTGTTCATTTATGTGCAACAAATGGAAAACCCTAGGTTTAGGGTTTAATGGTCATTGCTTTCGGTTCTTAAAATGAAATTGGTTCATTTGTAGTTATGGTTGGATGACCGAAAATGCCTTCGATCCATTGCTTCTGCCTAGTGGTGTTCCAGTGCCCATGTGCTTTTGCGGTGATCCTTGCAAGGTAGCGAAGTTCGATGAAGAGGACACGTATATGCAGATGTATTGGATGTGTGTCAGTTTTGCCTTTGAGCCTACACTTTGTCAGCGCCGCATTAACAAGATGGTGGGAAATTGATATTGTGTAATAATTATTTTATGTCATATGAAGTCATGCATAGTTTATTTGGTGTGTAACATTTGAATGTATTGCAGACTCCTCCACCGCTCTGTGATTTTGAGCAGTGGATCAACACTGAAATCAAGCCGAAAAACAAGGAGTGGATGCAGAAACTCTTGAGGCGGGAGGCAGAGGACAAGGAGTTGATCGAGAGGAGATGTAAAGAGGTGGCTGCAGAAAAGGAGCACAAGAAAGAGGAGGAAAGGAGGCGTATTGCTACATACAGGGAGGAGAGGGAGAAGAAGCTTGAGCATGCTCGCCGAGCGAAAGCAGCGATGGAGGAGAATCTCGATGCCCTGAGGGAGGAAAAGCGGCCTCGTTGCACTCAATAGTCTCCATGACTTGCTAGTTATATGGTTTATTCATGAACAATGTTGTCTAGTCTTAGACTTTTTATTGTGTTGTCATGTACTGTACTTTAATTATTGACATACTTAGGCTATTTACTGCGTTATTTAGTTTGTCGGCATGTACTTCTATTATCATTGTGTTGTTTAATGTGCCCTAGTATTAGACTTTTCATTGTGTTGTTGTTTTTATTATTTGTGGTCATAATATTCAGTTTAATATTGCGGAGGTAGTGAAATGAGTTCACGTACTGCAAATAAAAGATAACGAACTAGTGAATTACATAATTCGACACGCACAACACATAAAATGGCATGTGAGAACATGTGCTAAACTAGGGTATAGAGGTCCTTGACTAAACCTAACATGCCTTAGGTGATTGAAGTGAACAACAAGCACATGAAATGATATGTAAGAACATGTACCAAATAAGGGTACATAGGTCCTTCGACTAAACCTAACATGCCTTATGTAATTAAAGAAAACAACAAACACATGGATCTGGCATGTGAATAAGATAGGTTCCTCCTAGTAGTGTGGCCACATAACAAATTGTGTTGTACCTTGTTCATAGTATCCTCCCATTGTTGTTGGTGGTGGTGGCGGGGGTGACGGCGTAGTCCCCTTGTTCTTGTGATTAGGGCAGGTGCAATATGGATCATTGTAGAGTGCCTCCTGTGAACTGGCGCTATTGTCGTTGTTGTCGTCGTCGCCGTCCTTGTAACCGCTGCTAACTTCCCTTTCTAGCTAGAAGATATGGCCCTGCAGGTAGTAGATGTATTGCTGATACAGATAAATTGGACAAGGATCGACCCACCTAGTGAACCCATAGTTTTCTTCGGACTCAGAAGATTGCAATAAGTATGTCATGTAAGTTGTAGTGCAATCGAGAAACATATTTAACAAACGAATAGTAATAGTAAGTACCCATGCTCATGGGCATTTGAAGAAGCGACGACCTCTATCCATCCCCTTGGTGAACATCTGCACTAAGCAGTCATCACCATGCATGCATTTGGGCCAATCTTCTTTTCGGCTATCGTATCCTCTTGTTGATGTAAAAGTGGATCTGCAAACACAAAGGGCTAATACCCGAATCGATATCCAAAGCGTGCCAGTCGATTTGACCTGTTAATCGACAAGGATGAAGATACGAGCACTTTGGTCCTGACAACAGCGATACGCCCAGAAATCACGGCCAAGAGGTACTCACGCGGAACTCGAGAATCGCCGAAGGTTGCACTGAAGCGATGCAACTCGCCGAATCAATGAGAACTCGTAAAAAGGAAAAAATATGCAAATTGACGAAGTCATTAAAAGTAAGTAGATGCAAATAGGAGTAAAATTGGTTTTGATATTGATTGATATCTATTACATTGCCCTCAATCTATATTTATACCACGATCTAAAGAGACATAACCAAATACGACTAGGACACCAAGTCCATTCTAAGGAAACACGTGACTCTTACATGAATCATACTCTAACAAATATAGAAAAGGAAATCAACTCCTATCTATTTCCCTGTCCGCCTCAATTACGATGGAATTCTTACCGACCTCCTTTCCATCGGCATACTTCCCTGTTTCATCGGCAATGGTTTTCAAGCCTTCCTTCATCGGCATCGACACTAACATCTCCAACCTTATCGGCAACGCCCGAGTCTAAATCAACCTTTCCATCGATCACCACCATTCATCGGCAACCATCTTTACAAGCTGATTTTCATCGGTACATCAGATATCTGATAACTTTTCTCCTACCGATTAGCCCACTCTGATCATTTTGACACGTGCAAAAAACGGTGTCAACACATGCCCCTCAATTTCGGAGTATAAAACCATTAATGCTCAGAAATTTACTCCAGATAACGTTTGCCTTCGCCCAATTACCGTAACTCATCCTCCAAGCCAAAACTTGATCTCATTATCAAATCTAATCAAATCTAGTCCGATTCACGCACCTCGGTAAATATCGCATAATTTCCAACCACTCTTGCCCCGATTATGGTTAAGATATATGAAACAATAATCCATCGGCAAGATCCTAACATAATAATGCCGCCATTTTCAGAATTAAAATATCACGTATCGAGATCTCTTCCAAGTCATGATTACTTGCCATCAAATCATCTCAGACAATCCCTTGATTATCGTAAGAAACAGTTACCATATCCATCCGAACCACCTCGACCCACATGCGCTAGCATAGAGATAAGTCCGAATACCCCTACTCCAAAGCGGTTTATAAATAGATTTCTCCGGAACGCTCGTCTTCTACCCTCGACTCCAATCTTTGGCATTCTCTCTTTCCAAATGGCGACTCAGACGAACAACTGCGCGACCTCAACCAACAAGAACTTTTCTCCAGCGTCAACCTTGAGTCTCTAGCTCGTGCCCCATCTACCTCAAGATAATGGCAATCAACTTCGACATCCTGCGGTTCGTTCCACTTCCGCTACTTTTTACCTCGATTCCTCCGGTCTTTGCGAGTTCATACAGCTGGTAATTTTTCTCTTTTCTTTGTTCTTCTGATCCTCTAAACTTAGGAACTTCACAACAAATTAGTTATTCCAACCGATCACCGCATTTCCAATGCCTAGGACCAATGGGCAACCTGATCCAACGATCCGATTAATGCAGAGGTTAACGTAATCCCTTTTAGAGCCCAAAATTTCTCTCTGAATTTATAGAAAGATACATTCCGATCTTGGCCCAAAACCACCAAAGGGTGGAAAGATTGGTACTTGAGGGTCAACAGGTCGATGCAAGTACACTGGGCAGAACGAAAGCTAGACCAATGCATTAGGCTATCCATTGCCGATATGCAACAGAACGAGTCAATGATGATTGCAGCTGCTTACTTCTGGTCAGACACAACAAACGCTTTTATGTTTGGACATGGCCCACTTCTCCCACACTTGCCGATGTCTACATGCTCACCGGGCTTGGACATTTCAAATCTGCACATGTTGAAGGCTCCATCTATGGCGTAAAATCTGAATATAGGGTGAATACCCGCAACATCGGCGGTTGGACCGGATATATTCAAGAATGCTAGAGGACCGGGACAGTTAACCAGAGGGAACATGCCACATTCTTGAATATGTGGTTAGAAAAATTTATCTTCTGTGGTCGATCAGTAGGACCAACCAACGCCTTCCTCCCCATGGCTGAACTCTTGGCCAATGGTGTAAGGTTTCCTCTTGGCCGATACCTTCTGAGCTCCACTTATCATCTTCTTCATCAAGTGTCTCAGAAACTTTTGCTTGGCGAACCCATCGGCAACTTAGGTGGCCCGTGGTGGTTTATCAACATGTGGCTGAATGCCCATATGCACAAACGTCTACAATGGGACTTCTTTGCCCAACAATTCCCACGAGAAATTGCTGAAGACCACGTGCTTGGGGATGAGGAATCGGCAACACGCTCACCCCTCAATTTTGGTGAAGCCATAATTGTCCTCCCCAGAACAGAGGCCAA